CTGTATATGGTACTTTTTGGATTTTCAAAAAAACTGAAGGGCAATGTTTTTTTGGTACAGATTCCATAATCTACACACCTAAAATAGCATAATTTTTATTCGGATGCTGATAGACAATCCCATACATTATCATGTCCAAGTTATATTTTAGACATCCCGATGAAAGACACCAAGAGACACTTGTTTACCCCCAGGGCATTCCCTCCTTTTCACTATGGGCCGTGACCTCTTGGGCTGAGTTTAACCAAGAGGGTCACGATGTCTGTCTGGCACACTAAACAACAGATAGTCTGGCATTCAGCCCTGCTCGTCTCAATCCCATTCTCCTCTTCCCATTCCTGATTTGTTCAGAGGGAGTGTCAGGTTCGGCTACAGTATCGCCTATCAGGGATTGGAGTCAGATCAAAGTGGCACAGAGAAAAGAGTGAGATCCACACCCCGACCACTAACCGTACAAAGAAGCTAAGGAGCAAACCCCTTCCCCTGGGAGTTGTAATGGGAGCGGCTGATTACCCCTGTGTACCACAGCCATTTGGACCAACCTGAGGGAGCCACAGTGGAGGATAGCATGCAGCTAATGATGAGCCCTCACATAGCATGGGCCAATACTCCCAAACCCTGTCCTTTTGGGCATTGTTCCAAATGAGCTTCATATATGTCCACAATAACAGCAAATGCCTTTCAAATGATTGCATACATATTACTCTTGTGCTGGCCCATCAAAATATATATCGTCTTATTTGTAAAACTTGTTAATTGCTTCGGACTCTACACTCAACAAACTCACATTCACCCCATCTTTGTCTGTGTTTATCTGGTGTTATCCCATATGCTGCATCGTGACGAGCTATCTTCCTCCTCCACCCTAGAGAAAATGAAGTTAGGACCGATCCGCTGCCGAATTTATCTCAAATCCTCGGCGATGCAGATCTAATTTCAGCCTCTTAGTACCACAAACAGGAAGAAGAAGCCAGTCGATAAACAGCCCATGGTCACTGTTGGAGGGAGTGAAGTGGTGGAAGAGCTGGGGTGGAGGGGAGAGAATATGGTGACACAGTGGAAAAGGAAAGCAGGGTTGTCATTATCTCCTGTCCAGTCCATCACTCACTCTATCAACCTTTGGTCTTCCAATTCCTGGGATAAACTTAATTAGAGAATGTAGGCTAATCAGCTAAAAGCATTTTAAGTTAATTGAAAATACTTAGAAAACTGCATGCAATCTGGTCTGACAAAATGACTTCAAATATGGATGAGACAATCATTTTTTTCAGTAAACATGTGTACTTGCTCAAATATGTAGATTCTGCCAACATCATGTTAGGTCAGCTTAGCACAAAAACTAGAAAGGGGGAACACTGAGGCCTGATTTCTAAATGTGCTAAAGCTAAGAAATAAGAAGTTGCACCATGATCTTTACTGTAAAAAAAAAATGGATATACAAAAAGGATTCACTTGTTATCACATAAGCAAATAAATGCCTCTCAAGACCAATCTTTAGCTGCTCAATGAAAACTGTATTGCAGGTCTCAGGAATAAAGGAAGCCGTTCAGATTTGGCAGCGAAACCAGATGGCAAGAGGAACCTCTGATCTAATATTTCAAATGGACGTCTGACGGTAACAGCATGGCACTGACAATATAATTCATGATTATGGCATTTTTATTATAATGGATTCTTAGGGATATAATTCATGTACAAGCATGACCACCCACAACGTAATAAGCATTAAACATATAGCAGGAAAAAGGGGCTGTAAGATATAATTCGATTTTTGGTTTTATTCCACTTTGAATGTGAAATAAAACAAAAGATTAACTGCATATTTTGTGTTTGCTCTTGTGAGAGGTAATTCAAAGGACAATAAAGTTGTCATAGTAAATCCATGGAAAACACAGCATGAGGGGAAAGTTACGGTCCATATATTTGCAAAGTGTTGATTTTTCACACATGGTTTGCTAAGCTAATTTCATGACTCTAAGGTTTGCAGCTACAGTTCCCTGACTACCCAAACTTCTCAGGAGTATAGTATTCACTAGGGAAATCTAATTACTGCCCACAGAACAGTAGATGGCCGGAAAATGCTTTATCAAGAGATGTCTGATCAAAACAAAAAGATTTGTAATCGACAATAAAAACAAACTACAGAGAGATAGTCCTTTTCTTCAAGTATACATCTCTTATTTACTTGCAATTCAACTGTTTCAATTCATTCATTTAAAAGCAGTCTTATTTATTTATTCATCAATAGAAATGTGTTTGAAGGCTTCATAACCAGACCCTGAACATCTCTTTCACACACGCTTGTAACACACTGAAGTGAAGTTAGGATTTAGTGGGATTTTTTGTGGGAATGAAAATATATTATATTTCAATGCTTTATATGCCGTTTATTTTTACCTCAAAACAGAAGGAAGGCTGGAATCTGGCATAAATGGACTCAAGTTCAGACGTAGTTACACAGTGAGCTCTACAGTGGTTAGAGGTGCTGACATGGGGAATAGGAAAGGTCAAAAGTCAGACGGGACCATTCCTGACCCCACCAACACACCACACGGGGGGCCATATGAGCGAATCCAATTAGGCCCTTAGCATCTTGTAAAAGTCAACAAGCTTTTACTCATATTTCGCCATCCGTCACCTTCTTTCACCATTTTCCTTTTTATTCTGATTCTCTCCTTACCTTTCTCTAGAGGCTATACAATTCCCATGCATGTTTCTAAAAACATATCAGAAAAGGGATAAGTATTAACGACAATTTGATGAAGTTGGAAACTGCTTGGTTGACAATTATTGCCAAGAAATCAGAACAAAAGAAAGTCAAACTAAATATTGTATTCAACCTTGTATGACAGCCTTCGAGATATATCAGTAAAACAAAACATTTAGAACGTTTTCTGCAGTTACCAGCTTTTTATTTTCACTTTAAGCCATATCATGTTGGTGCAGTTAATCCAGCAGCTCTCTACATCAAGGGGGAGCACGATAAAGGGATTGTCTGACAGCAGTTCAAAAATTAAAGATAATGGGACTATGCCACATATGGACGTTGTTAAGTTTGAATTCTTGTTGGTAGGTTTGAAAAGGTGGGATAAAATCTGTGAAGCTTCAGGAACTGCATTTAGTTAATTCAATTAGATACAGGATATATTAGTGAAAGGAAGTGACAGAATACATCAGACTGAAAAGAAGATATGAGAGTAACCAGGGACAGATCAAAGTGCCACATACGTTTTAGGATTATAACCTTGATTGTTAAGTATGATAATAGAGATTTCACAATTACTAATCAGGGTTAGCAACTATTTACAATTCTCTGCAACAGTGTCTTCAGGGATGGCAACTAGGTCCACCACTTTGTTCCAGACAGAAGTATATTAACAACATTGACTTTAACGATCCTTTGACATTTCATTTATTACCACCACAAGGTTCACCTTTTCTGCTTTTGAGTAAAATGTCACAAACTACAGTATAAAGGAAATAACCCTTTTCAGCCATAACAACATCTAAACAAAAGGGTCTAAACTCTAATATATTGATAAGAATACTTTTTAGATTGTCTTTATGTTAATGTTGATCACTTTAAAAATGTCAACTGTTGAAAACGGTGTCTTGTCAACGTCTTCCACACATGTTGCCCATATTTGTGGTTCTTGAAAGGCTTGTCACCCTGGGATGTGTAGTCTTTTATTGTTCTATTGACTACAGAGGTCGCCAATAGGTGGCAATGTTTTTTTGACCTTTTTCATTAAATCAATCAGTACTAAATACTTCACATCTAAGATTGAAGTCTTCGCTGTTGGCTGTTCACGGTGTTGACAAGTGGTTTTAGTAGGACCATTCTCCCCCGCTTTCCCTGACAAAGCGTATTACATGTGTGGATAGATAATGAAACTACATCAACTGCAAATCTTGACTTTACTTGTACGTACTGTTGAATGTTTCTTTGATACCAACTTAAAAAACTTCTTTCCCAAACTATGTACAGCTTTGAAGTAGGCTAATTTTATTCAAATGTAATTGTCCTACAGTAACTTGTGTATACCTGTTAAGTAACAAACCAAACTTGCCATGTCATCCTACATGGAGCTCAGGATATCCTTCAAAGCCTTGGCATGACATTAGATTTGTCACAAGTTTTTCACTCAATAGAGGGTGCCTGCTAAATAATGGCTTGGAGATATCAGTATATCAGTATTTCCTGTGACAAGTCTCCGTTTTAAGATTCAATTCTTGTTCACACATTGAATCTGGAAGCCTGCAAATGCCACATAAGCCTAGGGATTAACCTCCCTATAGCACACTGTCACAGGAGCTAAACTATTACATGAGAAAACCAAACGTGATCAAACAATGATTCCAAAATAAAGACGGTGTCGGCCCTCTAGCACAATTGTGAACACATGTTTTGAATACAGAAGTAGACCATGAATAATAAGATTACACACTTACATTCTTTTTCTATTAAACCACAAGATGTGAAACATGATCTGTAAAGTAATCTCGACATAATTTACATGAATTGACAGTAATGGACTGGACACCCTCTGTTCTGGGCCATGTGGTGTTGGACACATTGCCCCTCTTTGAAGTCCTAAATGTACTTTACAGCCATACCAAATGACAAATTGCATGTTGTGGGTGTGTGGCAAGTGTTATTATGTCTACTGTAAGTCTTATCCCATACTATTGAGGACACGTTGACTGACAATGATGAATTTCACCCTCAAAGAGAAGACACGGAGGATATCGTCTGTGTCGGCCTTCACACCCGGCCCTACAAAGGATGTTCTGCACAAAAGAGAGAAACCCGACCTCCTAAATCACCGGCAGCTTCTTTCATGTCAAATGAGAACCATCCTGTATTAATGGTTTGGATTGTGGTTATTGTTACGTGTATGTCTCCTGCACATAACATGAGTTTTCTTAACTACTCCAAAGTATTTCTATATGCGTCTAGACTATTTAAATAAATATCTCCAAACTTTGAGTAGATAGAACTTTATTCAGAGTCAACAATGTATACGATATGATTCACATTTCACACATAAATGACTTAATTGATCATTTTTAATCATGATTATAATGGATTGAAAAGTTTATTTAATCATAGTAATCATAATCATAATACGATTTATTGCAAAAGCCCAGAGGATACAACTGATAAACAGTATACTTCATTCAAAAAGGTAACAAGGAGACATTCATCTAATTAAAAAAGGCAAAATGTGTATTTGATCTTATGCTGCCCCCTAATGTTTTAAAGAAAATCCATCACAACTTTAAACCTCAGAGAGGAACACCAATAAGGAGTAATTTACAGGGACTATATTTGTTGTAATTTTAGAATAGGAATGAATCATCTTTGATTGATTTAGGTCAGAGTTTTGGCTATAAGCAAACCCAACAGCAAGGTCACCAGTGAGGTCAACAGGCCGGAAGCACTGCTCGCTTTCACCGTCCGAACTGCAAGAGAAGAACCACAGTTTAGATCAAATGTAATCATCCAGCTTTGTGTCATAAAACGTATGCACATTATGCAAAGAGACAAAAAAGCTTTACCGTGGCGATGTGGCGCCATCATTAGAGGTCCTAGTGAGATGTCTGCAGTATCATGGTAGGTTACGTCCCTCTCAACGCGCCTGTGGTGACCAGGGTAGCAGTGCTGTAGGAAAATAAACATTAAAGGCTTCTGTTGATGCAGCCGTTGATAATCTAATCTAACTGCAAACACACACAGTAGTACTTACAGCTGAGCAGTTGTTGTGTCTCAAAAGACACAGGTGGACCTGGCAATGCAGGTAAAGGGATGAGAAGTTGGTAAATGTGAACATCCTGAAGGAGAATCGGGACACAGTGGAGAGGCCATTCTGAACCAGCTCTACTGTACCATCTGCGGGATTAGGACACCTGGAATAAGAGAAGAAAGCAGATGTTGCAATGTTACCAAGATAATATAACATGGTTGAATTGGAAAAGAGAGGATGTGCAGAGATGAAAGAAACACATCTAGGACAAGTTAATTATTTTTCAGTCTTTGGCAATGAATAACAAGTGGTCAGTGTGCTTAAATCATATCAAATTGAACTATCGGATTTACTCTGCGCTGAGGAGATCCCAGCGGATAGGGTAGGTGGCCAGGTTGACCGGTGTTGCCCAACAACTGTCCACAACAGTGGAGATCTGGCTCCCATCGACGCCTTCTGTCCGCACCTCCACATAAATAATCTGGTCGATTTCCATTTCTATGTTCCTGCTGCTGGTCAGGGGGAAGTGGAAGGCAGGGTCCTGGTAGGGGATCATTCTCATACGATACTGTCCATGGCCTGCAGGAAGTTTTTTCGACACAATGCTACAACAAAAAAGGACAGATATTGTAAATACAAAAAGGACTGTGTTAATTGTATTAAGTTACAACAATTAAATCAATAATACATGCAGATGGTGTTGTCACCTCTCTACAGGGTTGATACCCACATCCATAGACAGAGCTTGGTTCAGAGGGTAAACACAGCAGAATAGCAAATGAATGTTCCTCTGGCGACTGATTAGACCTTGATGAGGGTCCACGTCGCCCTGGATGGTGTTCTCATACATGAAATGGGTTCCGTTGCTCTTAAAAATAGGAAAAATCAAGTAGTTGGAATTAGTGTTTTTGTAGAAGAATGATATATCTTCATCAGTCTGTTTTGAATGGCATTAGAGTCTATGGACTATACCTTCAGAGCTGTCCCACACAGGTGGTTGTTATTGTTGAAGTTAAAAACCAGTCGTCCGTCTTCCAGAGTCCCGGCGCAGGAGTGGTCTTGCAGGTGGAGGGCGCCGGAGTGGAAGCCGGCTTCGAACAGCTGGCAGCGCGAGACGGACATGGTGCCTGAACTACTTTCACAAATGATGGACGAGTCTATGAAAGAGATATACAAATAAATATAATAAACATATTTCTATAGTTTTTGATAAGCTAGAAAACATTTGAAAGCTGTACATATTGTCTGAAAAGTTTAAGTAGTGACAAATTAACAGAAAACAGAGTTGTGAAGGGGGATGTTACAGAGAAACACACGACTCAAGGATAACGTAAAAATCTTTTATGTTTATTTTGGACCAACAGTTTGAATAAATTGATCATATTCTGTGAGAAATCCAGTTTTTTCTATTGTACAATATCTGAGCCTTGGTTGCCATTGTTAGTGCCAGAAAACAACAAATAATAATAACAAATTGCCTTAAGCTGCTGATCGCACACCTTTTTCAACACTGCAACTTTTTTAGCTCCCATACACTGTCAGTGGTGCATGAAGATAATTTTTTGTTCTGTGATTGGATCATATTTTCCTTAGTGCACCTTATGAGATTAATACAAGGACCACCCATTTTTAGCAAAAGTACTGTAATTAACCTAAACTTGAGAAGATCCTATTGTCCTGTGCTTTTTTGTTGATGTATAATACATGAACAAGCTATTGTAATATGTAGCATTGTCTACAACTCCTCTTACATTTCACTTCCCTTAGCTCAAAATGAAAGCAGTGTTTAAAGAGGAGCTGTTCTCACCGTAGCTCTCATTGTTGGCCCGATGGTGGTGTTCATCACAAAAGCAGCCGTACACACCATCCTTCTCACCACACCACTCATGCTCTGCGCAGTCCAGATTTTCACAGGGGTCTGACTCAGCTGTAGAAATAGTGGGAAAAGAATGAGACAAGAAGGGATAAAACAGAAACAAATAATTGACTTCCACATTCATTATCTTGGCTATCCATAGCACAATGAAAACCTACCACAATGCAAAGCAGAGCGCCATTCAGGGATGTTTAACTCCAAAACTGAGCAGGTTCTCTCATAGGCTGCGATTGCAGAACACAGCATGCCATTGGCTGGAGTGTAGAGGCAGAGATCATAGACACAGGAAGTGTAAAACGGCTGAGGGTCAGAGTGCAGGTGACAGGCACTGAATGGCCCGCTAGTGTTGGTGATGACACTACAGAGCTCAGAGTATTCTCCCCTAAAGATACAGTTGTTCAATCCATCTCCACCCCCTGTTCCTCGATCGGTGGATCCACATCTGGAAAATACATTACAGGTTTTAAAACTTTGGCTGTCTTTGTTTATTTTTCAATACAAGTTTCTTTTGTTTTTAAAAACCGCTCACCCTGGTTGGCTTTTGGGAGACTTCCAGCTTTGTCCAAATGTATTGTCATTTTGTGCCGGTGTGCCATTGGGTAAGACTTTGTCATCTGAAGAGTCACTGTTGAGATTTCCGCACATCCCAGTGACTCTGCTCTCATGGTTGTTGTTGACTCTCACCAACAAAGTACTCCTGCCATCAAACTGGACAGTCAAGTCCATTGCATTGACCTCTATGAAGTGTCCCTGCCTTTGTATATGAGCTAAGGTGCCTGCAGTGCTGGGAAGAGTCACCTCAATTCCATTTATCTGGAGGAATGAGGGAGGGGGATTAGAAGTGAAGAGGTACTCATGATATGCTATTATTACACCAGGAAGAAATAAAAAGTTCTTCATCTTGAAAGTTATTAAAAGTATACCTTAACTCTTTTGCTGGGTCCAATCGTGATATTCACACTCTCTGGTTGATTTGTGAGGTAGATATCCACCTCAGACACAAACGACACATGGTTGTTCCCTCTGTGATTGTTGGTGGCTACGACCTGAAACCCTGTGTCATCGGTCCTGTCGCTCACACTCTCAGTAACGATGTAAGAGCATGTGCCCTGGAAATGAGCCAGTGCCCCATCAAAGGTCCTGTAGTGAGGGTCCCCCCACACAGTGCAAGTAGACATTGCATCAAAGCAGCCCAGCTCTCCATGTCTGATGGTGCAGTCTTGTGTTGGGGTGCAAGATACAGCTGAGCAGCGCAGGTCATTGGGAGCATGGCATTCACATCGCTGGGAGCAACCCTCTGTCCAGAAGGACTCATCAGCCTGCAATAGCAAGAAAGAGCCACATAAAAAATATAAAATGTTGCAATTATTACATTAAAAGACAAAAAGGCAACCAAGAGGATACATAATAAGTGTAGCACAATAAAGTAGCATTCATTTAGTCTAGGTTTAAGTAATCTGTTCATAAACATGGCCACTATTGTCGCGTTATTCTGGTCTTTCTCTGCACAAGTACTGCATAATTACTTGTCATTTTAGGCAATGGGATTGTGACAGCCGTGACTAAGAAGATTGATGGATCATTGGTACACATATCTGGTGTTTTTTTCATTAACGGTTAAATGACTTACATTGTAGTAGAAGCCATTGTATTGACAGCCACAGCTTTCCACAGGTACGCATCTTGTCCCACTCCTGACAAAACCTTCATCACAGAAACAGCCCTCGGAGCAAACCTGCTCACAGGTGGCATCAATGTTCCTGGCACAGGTGTGGCCACAGTCGGTACCACACAGCTCATAATGGGTGTTGGCGGGACAGTCGAGTGCTTTGTACGTGAGAAAATTAAATTATGGTTGTCAGCTTTTGTGTAGATGCAGTAGATCAATATACATTTTCTTGGAAGACACTTCTTTGATTGTTTTATTAGGCTGCTTGGATGGTAAATAAACAACTTGAATTTTGACTTACTGCAAGTGGTGTTGTCTCTCCAAGAGTAGATCCGAACATTAGCAGACTGACAGGCACTGACGTATGTTTCAACTGCCCTACAAAGAAGCTCTCGGCCTCGATTTCCCGAGATACAAACATCAAACACACAGTCATTGAAATATGGTACTGGGTCCACTTGCTCATGGCAGAAGCTGAGAGGGCCGTCAGCTGCTCGAATAAGCTCACATTGGGATCTTGCTGGTCTCTGATTGGCACATCGTGGGCAAGAAGAACCACACCCATCAGTGCAGGTGTAGTTCCCTGTTACTTTCCAACTTGCCCCGAATGCTTGTGGAGTATTGACCGTCATCCCAGATGGGGTGTGAAACTCATCATTTGGATTTCCATTGAAGTTTCCACAAAGTCCACATGTTTTCCCTCTGATGACAATAGTTAAAAACATCCAGATTTTAACATGTGTTGATAGATTGATGATACATGAGTCTCATCATTTCGATAAGATTCATTTTGAATAAAAACATTTAAACATGGGCTTCAGTATATTTGGCGTTACCTATAACTTGGCGGTACAGAGATAGACACTGTATACCGTCCATCGTACATGACACTCAGGCCAAAATCAGCACTGAGAAATGTGCGAGATCCACTTGCATAGATAGATACATGACTATTATTCAAGAGAATAGGTAGGTTTTTAGTCACTCCATTCACCTATAACATTGGGAAAAAAACTCATTAAATGGCATAGATTTATATTTGCCTTGCAACTCTGTTTCTTCTTCAAAATAAAAGCATCAGTGTAGATTGAAAACACATGTATAGGAATTGATTGATAAAAAAAATGTTCGATAGTTTTAAATCTGTAGCTTACCTGTACCACACCTTGGCTTCCACTTGCCATTTGCACCCGATAGCCCCACACATTCACAAATACTTCAGCTGTGATTGAAACTTGCAACCCTCTCCAAGGCTCATTCCTCGCCTCCACTGAAAATTGGTGGAGCTCTTCAGTTTCATTACAAGGCTTGGCCAGAACATAGCGGCACGTTCCCTGGAAGTCAAAGGCCTTTCCATCGAATGTGAGGTAGTGAGGGTCACCAGAGGCATAGCAAGTGCCATGAGGGTTAGGATGGCATCCAAATTCCCCCTCCACCACCCGACAGGACTCCTCAGGACTACAGGAGTTGGGGGCACATTGGACTGCCCCAGTAGTGCCATTACAGACACACAAGCTCTGACATTCTTCACTGTCCCAGAACCGTTCGCCACCTTGTCGGTAGCGTCCTTCGTGATAGCATCCGCAGGATGTTGGTGGCACGCACTGGTTGCCATTTAGGACGAGACCATCATTGCACTGGCAACCCTCCTGGCACACAGTGTCACAGGCAAAAGGGAAAGAGAGGCTGGGGCAGGCGGAAGGACAAGAGCTGTCACAGAGTTCATAATGGCTGTTTGGAGGGCAGTTTTGCGCTAGAGAAAAACAAAGCAATTCATTTAGTAAAATAATTTATATAATATCAAACACCTCTATAATAACATGAAAAAAATGACTTACCACAGTGAGTGGATATCCTCCAGTTTCCTAGGGCCACGCCCTTTTGTTGACACATTATTGCATAATCCCGTAGGAACTCACATAGGGCTGCTGCTGGATCTATAGAGGCTCTTGTGATCTCCACACATGCATCAACATGCTGCAGTGGGTCCACCATGGCCCAACACTGGGCAAATGGCCCATGTGGTGAGTGAAGAATGCTACAACGAGAAACCGAAGAATTGGTTATGGAGTTGTTGTGATTGCTTTCCACACAGTGTGCAGCCAGGGAGCCGTCTCTCCAACTGTCCCCAAAGTCCTGAGAGGTGTCGACCTGGACGCCATTTGGTGTGCGGAACTCGTCATGTTGGTGACCATTGAAATTACCACAGAGTCCACCAAGTGAACCATTGTAGATACCAGGTGCAGTGACAAGCACCAAATGAGGCCAGACTGTTTGCACAGTCACACCAAAGGCAGTGCGGATGATGATACTGTGAATGCTGCTGTGGTAGATTTGGATTCTGTTGGAAGCTGAGCTGTAAGGGAGTCTGATCTGCTGACCATCAACCTAAAGGGCCATTCAAACAGCCATTGTCAGATGTTATGGGTGAAGTGCGTTTCAGTTATATAAACAATAGTTTGTACCTTTTTATGCGTTATTCAAACCATGATTGCAACATTCTAGACAGAAGAAATCTTATTTTTCAATAAAGGTTCTCTTGTGTCACAACATTGCTTTTAATTAGCTCTTAGAAATATATGTGTGACTTACCAGAACTTTGCTGCTACCTGTCATTTCAATGGATACTTGTGTGCCCTCTGCCTCAAACTTTAGCACCCTGGCAAAACCCTGTTGTCCTCTGGGTAATTTTTCTGCAGTCACCGCAAAATGTGGGTGACTAGACAATCCCATTACTTTGGCAAGGGTCAGTCGGCATGCCCCAGGGTACTGGTACGTCAATCCATCGAACGTCTGATAAGACCCTGGGCCCCTTGTCCAGCATGTGCCATAGCTGTCAGGTGTGCATCCTCTTTCTCCCTCCTCCACCCTGCAAGACTCTAAGGGACCACAACCATGGGATTGGCAAGTCATGGAGCCATAGCTGCACCTGCATTGTCTCCCACAGTCCTCGTCCAGGATCACAAATTCACCAGAGCGGTAGTATCGGCCCTCAAAGCTGCAGCCACACTGAGCATGAGGGACACAGACCCCAGCACTCAGGATGTAGCCAGCATTGCAGGTGCAGCTCTCCTGGACAGGGAGAGGGCAGTTCTGGGTAGAATTGGGATTGACACAGGTATCTGGACATCCTGTGCCCTGGGACACAAAGTGGCTGTTGGACGGGCAGGGGATTTCTAGAAAAAAGGAAACAACATTCATCTTGAAATCTTGGACACTTACTGTATACCCGGAACATTATAAGATATAATGTTGATTGACACACAGACATACCACAGAAGCCTTGTCTCCTCCAGCTTGGCAGCTGTACGCGATTCTGCTGACACTGACTTGCATACACATTGAGGGCTTGGCACAGAATGGGTTGGTAGCCTCCTCCTATACACAAATCCTGCACACAGCTTTCCAGATAGTTCTGTGGGTGAAGTTGTTGATGGCAAGCAGCAAAAGGTCCAGAAGTGCTCGTGAGGATACCACAATGAGCAGGATTGCTGTATAAAGCTGTCTGAGCCGCAGTGCACCTAGCGCAGTCCAAGCCTCCACATCGGGACCCACAAGCAGGCTCATCGTCTGCTGATGCTTTCCAACTGTTCGCAAAAACCACATCGGAGCTCACAAGCTCGCCTTGGCGGGTTCGGAAGTCATCCTCGGGACGATTGTTGAAGTTTCCACACAGGCCACATGTTGCATTCTGGTAAGTGTAGGGTAAACGAATCCTAACATAACTATTTGTGTCATAGGACACCTCCAAGCCAAAGACAGTGCTGATGATCACAGAGAAACCTGACTCATACACCTGGACAGTGCCATTGGAAAGGGAGATCGGAGTGGCTGCAAAGTTTCCATTAACCTGTAATGACACCAGCAAGCAGAAACAAAGTTGTACAAGTGTGAATTAAAAAAGGAATATCACAGAAGGTTGGGATTCAGTTATTTTTGCTTACCTTAGCCATACCACGACGTCCTTTGACCAGCTCGATTGTATCATTATAGACATGCACTTTGACCAGTCGTGTCCAAGCGACTCGAGTGCTGCCTCTGTGCTCGTTCTTGCCCTCTACTCTATAGTAGGGCAACCCACGACCACATTGCTCAGAGAGAACATAAGTGCAGGTGCCCTGGAAGTGAAACACTTTGTTATCGAAGGTATAGTAATGTGGATCACCGCTGATGGTGCACCTGCCTTTCCGCACTGTCTGGCAGGAGAACTGAAAGGCAGTGGGTCTGCAGACTTGGGAAAATGAGCAGGGCTGGCTGTGACACTGCAGGCCTGTCGGGGTGCACGTGCATTTCTGAGCACAGGATCTGTCGCTCCAGAACGAGTCACCCTGCTGCACGGTTTGACCTTGAAGGAATGAAAAGTTTCTTGAAATTCATTGACTTTTAAATGCAACTTCAGGGCATTTTGACTTTTTCGCAAAGCTGATAGAAGAAAGACTTGAAAGACAGAACAGCTGCCTTTAAACTGGGACAATGCATGGTCATGGTCAACAATTTAACCTTACAATAAATGAAATGATTATTTTATTGTTTATTATTACTTGAAGCTTCACTTATTATCCCCGTCACCACATTAAAGCAGTGCAATGCTTAATGCTCTGCTGTTTTTGTTCAATAGGATTTAATTGTTCTATAGTTCAAGAAGCCCAAATAAATCCTCAGACTTCTTCAGTGGTCACATGCACATGCAGGTTCTGCTTTTACCATTAAAAGTGCAGCCGCGCGATCCATGGTCTGTCCGGAAAGCCCAGCGACCGGCTACATTGACGTTGCTGTTCTGGCTGAAATCTAAGTAATTACTGTTCAATCTATTGTTAGAGAAGGATCCAGGGATGGAGAAATGATGAGTAGAGTTGATTGTGTCATATCCAGCCTGGAAGTACATATCACAGATAAGGAAATGTTGATATCAACTGCATTTGTCATTTTCCATTAAGATTTGAGAAAGGCATGGCAATTTCATATTTTCATTAGTACATTCTAACCTGTGCTTGGCGTGTTGTTGATGCTATTATCCCATAGTTCATTAGCACAAATGAGTAGCTACTTCCAGAGATCAAGACTGCTTGGACCGTTGATCCCTAAAAATGTTTTGATTATGATTATCATAGTGAATATAATTAAAAGTGAAATGTATTCTTCCATTTAGAACAAAATGACTTACTGTTCCAGTGTTTGGAAAGTAGAGCAGATTAGACCATGTTGCAACAAAGACCCAGTTGGCGCTGAAGTGTAACCCTGGGAAGTAGCTATTAATGTCCTGTGTGGCTTGTTGGAGCACTGTGCCGCTGGTGTATTGATGGTAGGAGATCTGACCCTGCCTTCTGTTGTCTAAATCTGTCCAGAAGGGAGCGATTAGATCTCTGCTCCCGTGCATTGGGATCCTTTGAGGTGTATATCTACTCCATGATGTGTCAAAGGTCAGGTGGCCATTGTGGTTTACCTGCAAACCAAAGTAACAGATTCAGGACTCAACAGCATCATTGACAATCACATATTATTCAATATCAACAGATTTAATGCTTTATTATTTCAAAACAGGAATAAAACATGTATTGACTACAACTAACTGCTGTACTTATTTAGTATCTGAAACATTTTGGATGAAGATGAACAACTTCTTTCTAACTTCATTATACATTTTATTCAACTAAACATTTTTATTTTTTCAGTTACAGTTACACATTTTCAAACCAGTATTCAAAAGAAAGGGATTTTTTTTTAATTATTTTAACATACATAGATCTGATTGTGCGACTGGCCAAAATACACAAAAGGTCGTTGCAGGGGAATTTGAGGAGAACTTCCATCATCTGATCGCAAGCTATTTGTTCCAGCAATTGGGTAGAGTGGTCCTAGAAAGAAAAAAAGCGTCTTATTTTTCAGAAAATATATAAGGCCAATACATAGAGCCCCTAATGGAAAGTGCTGTGCTGAAAAAGATGTTGCACAATGTTGAAACTTTTCTTCACACTGACATAAATGTGCTTTTGGGGTTGAATGGACTATTATATTCCTATATATATACTGAACAACTACAATATACCTTTTTCACAGCAGACACCAAATTGACAGCATCCCATTTACTCAATATAGATCCAGGGTGGTGATAATGTGAACACTGGCTTAGCTGACTGGGACACTTGAAGTCAAAGCCTCAGCTCAAAAGGGTCTAATTGAGTCTAGTTTACAAAGGACCTAACACTACCTGAAAATCTGCTTTTTACAGAGTCTTCTTTATAGTGTGTCAGTGAAACACAACATCACTGTGGGCTTGAGATACAGACGCAGCACACTACACTTCCTAACACATCCCAGATGCAACCAGAAGGGGGCGATGAGACACTGCCTTTCAGCCTGGCATAATTCATCTCGTTAGTGTGATACCTCCCTAACCTAAGTAGGTTTGGCTATCAAGCAAGTCAAATATTAACATTTAAGCTTAATGTTACTTCATTGTTTGGAATGTCCTTGTGAAGACAACTTGACATTCACATACCGTAGCAGGTCTAAAAGTCAATGTAAAAAGCCTCCAACATTGAAGGACAATGCTTGACGTTAGGGAATACATATGTTATGGTAACACAGAGCAAAATGGTTTCTTTAAGTTTGAGGATTGGGGCTGGTCTTATAACAAAGACATTTACAGTATATGTTATCTTGATTCATGTTAACCAGTCATAACAAAGACATCTCATACACTTAAGTGTCATAGTTAACCAAATGACACTTGATGAATGGCATACACATTCATTAGGTCTCCTTAATGTTTATGTAATGTCAGTCGTATGTACAGTCTGACTGCTGTAGGCATTTTTGCTGTTGTCCTGTTTGTACTGCTCTTAGTGTGTAGCAGGCTGTTGAGAGCTGTTTCTGAGTCAAGTGACACCTACTGCTTACTTTGGTTTACTGGTATTGGTATATAAAGATGTTGCTCTGGTACAACCCTTCATTAACAGTGGCATTTGCTGTAATCCAGGAGATATATATAGGTCTATTCCTGAAGTAATAACTGCTTTGAGCTACTGATTTTATGACTAACCCATTAAGAGCATGAACAAATGACAAAGATATTATCTTAATATCAACTCACCTGCAGTCTGAGCAAGCACCGTACCTATGAAAACAAACATTGAGATATCATTTGTCTGCTAACATCAATAAACAAAGTCAGTTAATGCAGTGATGTAAAAGTATCAACAGACATACATGTTAATTTAAATGTATTTTATTGAAATGTATACATACTTATCATCCCCAGAAGCAGTACAGGTAACATGATTTCTCTTGACATTTTCCAAAGGCCCAAAATTCAATCCTGTGATCCAAATATAATAAGTACAATTTCAAAATAAAACAAACAAATGAGAAAGAACAGAAAGTCTTCAGGGACTGCACAGACCCATCACACCCATGTACACTTTACAAAAATATGTACACTTATACTGTTTTTTTAATATATATATATATATATATAGCGCATGGTGGAAGGGAGCAGGGAAAAGAAAATCTTATTTTACCTGCTCCTACTTAAAAGAAATAACAAAAAGAAAAAAAATGAAATAACCCTAAAAAAAGTAAAAATAAAAGCAATATTCTTTCAGTCTCAGTTGCATACAAATGCTGAAACATATAACAAGAACACAATCAAAAGTACATTTCATACTGTCTAATTACGCTTCCTTTATACATACAAATGTTCTTACAGTTCTTTAAATCATTCGGCAAAGAATTCCACTTCTTTACGCCAACTACAGAGACACACATCTGCTTTAAAGTAGTAAGTGCAAACTGATGCTTAACATTTTATTTCCTCCTAGGCTCATCCTCGGAAATCAAAACTAATTTGTTTTGTATATTTTCTAAAGCCATCTGTAATTCTATTAAAATGAACAGCCTTGACTCAATAACTAGTTTGTTTGTTTGTTCTCTAGGTTGGACATAAAACAACATTCTCACAGCTTTTTTCTGTAATGTAATTAAAGGTTTTAAATTACTCATAAAGGTGTTGCCCCACACTTCAACACAATAATTTAAATATGGCAATATCAAACAAAAATACTAAATGTGCTTTGACTTCTAGTCAAGCAAATATTTTACTTTATAAATATCGATGCACAATCTGTGTGTAGATTCCCATTTAGATAACCATCAAACTTTAGATTTGGCATACCTGTCTAGAAGATGAGTTGCCGCCTCAGCTTGGCTTTTCAGCCCTTGGACGAGCAAAAGACGAACCGATGTTCAACCTAGTCTTGTTCCTCCGTTTGTCATTGGGCACTGAATTGGTACTGCAGAGGAGTACACAGTACACACAGTCAAAAAAGGCCGTATTTTTATACTTGGCAAGTAGTCAAATTCTTTAATCGCTTTAGACAACGAGATACATCGGCACTAGCGGCAAACACATGTCTGATATATCTTACACAGAGGTTAAAAGAACATTCATTTTGGATCAACATTTATTTTAATCAATGAATTCACAATCTTAAAAAGTTGTTTCATGGAAGGCATTACTTTCATTTTGTACATTTTTTCAAAGCTGTGTATTTATTATGTTTCAATGAAATTACTATATTAAAATATTATCAATATTTTTTAAGTCATATTGTTCCAGATCCTCAGATGTGCATCATTTTTTATGTATGTACAGTAAGTGTGATAGTTTGAGAAAATGGTGCAAATGTAAGAAATTAATTAAATCAAATTATTAAATTAGTTAATTAAAGAAGACATTTCTTGACATTTTAAATCAAATATGGATTTGCAAAACGATTAAGAATTGGTTCTTCGTTCTTTTCATGAATATGTTACGATAGTTGTGCTACTGGCAAAGACTTTGTGTCTCAGCAAAAAATACTAATAATAAAATCAACATTCTTACAAAATATTATTTCTCAAGGAAATTCCTGCCATAGTTAAGTTAGAAATCAAAACCCCTTTTTAAAAAGTATGTTCACAGTACAGTATAGTATTGTACACTATAGAAATATCAGTATGTGGCTGAAATAAAAAAAGAATCTCATTAATACAAAATAAATATATTACCTGTTCAGATGTTCGCCTGTGGTTGTTCAGCGCTCACTATGGGAGACCTCCGTGCTGCAACGATACTTAAATCAAAAAGTTGGCTGAGTCCCATAAGTCTGTGGTTTGACAAGTTACAGGAATAGAATTGCTTCCTCATACCTAGTGAACCAAACAATCCATTGTTCTTTAACAATAATAAAGATTATCAGACTCTGTTCAGCAGAAACAAAAAGGTTATATATTTCACAAAAAATCTGGAGTATACAGAGTAAGCTGCACTTCAATATAACATGTTTATGTAAAGGGGAATGCCTCGAAGCACAATTGGTCACCATTAAAAACACATGAACTATTTGATAATGCTATACAAATGGTACAAATTCCAACGCTCCAACACATTGTACATGATAAGAGGCTGGACAGGCAGTATGAGAAAAATAAAGAGCTTTTTGAACATTAAAGCATGGAAACATGTCACAGGGCACAACATACAAATATGCCCTTTGATATTAACTAGTTTTTCAGAATGTAATAGTTTTTCAATGATAACTGTTGAGAATATATGAACCATACTTTGTATTGAAATGAATTGTATACTATTGGATATTTGTTTGAAACTGTTATAATAATAATTCTTGAGTTATGGTCTACACGTGTGTTTTAAGGTCTCTGTGACATTGGCCTATGAACTTGGACCAGTTCGTCCTTTAGTGGAAGTGAGCGTTTGAGCCAAACTTAAAGAATGCCCCTCCTGGCGTTTATGAGATATCTCGTGACAGGCTGACACCCAACCCCGAAAAAATCACACTTCAGGACACCAGGACGGCCTGAGGCATCAACAATGATGTTCAAGTTGTCCGTATCTGTATCCGTATCTGTTGAACCAACACAAATATGTCTCTGTGTCTGTATGGAAGTCACATTAAATTAGGGATGGGAACGATTAATCGAATATTCGAAATTATTCAGGTATTCTAATAATTATTCAGGTAGCCTATTCGAATAATTATTCAGGTGTTCGAATAATTATTCTATAACACATAGGTGTGAGCAAGCTCTCTGATTGGTCAATAGGCGTGTTTGATTCCACGATCAAAGAACGGTCAAATAGAACGTGCCTTTTCACAACAAGTCAGTATCCCTCCGCGTCTGAGAAAAACGGTATACCCTTGGCCTGAAAAGCAAACTTGCCTCCAGTACAGGCGTACGGACCTCGGCGCAAGCGCCTCGGTCCTGCCGCAGTACTGTCGTACCAATAATGACGTTAAAGAACGGCCTCTCGTGTATGATTGCTTAATTCAGGTATTCGAATAATTATTCAGGTATTCGAATATGAGTTTTTTTTTTGGGAGGAATGCCTAGGCTAAGTTGATTACATATTATCAAATTGAATAATTCAATGTATTAGACAGTGCCATAGCTAAATGTGTTAGGTGACGTCTAAAGGTGTGTTTTGCTCCGCTCACAGCGGGCAGAGCTGCAGCTGCAGGTGCTGATCTCTCTCTCTCTCTCGCATCCGGTTATACTTCACTCGCGTTTATGTCCAAATCCATCAGATCTAGCTAGTTCTAGCTAATGATATAGCTAATGATATGGCTGCTGCCCCTCCCTACACGCAGATCACGCAGACTCAAACCTCATTTTATGCCCAAATGCGCTCCGCAGCCGTTGCGAGGTTCCGGCGCTAACAGTTCATGAGCGTGCTCCCCCGCCCCCTGTCAACACTCGCGACACATGGCCAGCCTAAACAACAATAAGCGCTGCTTGGCAACCGTGTGTGGCGGAAAAGTACATAGACATTTTGACAGGAGAGATTTAGTTTAGCCGGTATTCAACATATTTTACCAGTCATAGTCCGGTAATTATTTACACTCTAAGAAGAGTCCTACACAACAGACATGGCGTCAAAAAGGAGTGTGGAAATATTTCGACCAGGTTAGTGAGTGCGGTGTAGAGTGCAAACTATGTCAAATTAAACCAACCTGATCTCACCAGAATGCGTGACTCCACCACGACTCCTTAACACCGCATTGCGTGGTGGAGTCACGCATTCTGCTACATTTGCGTGTCGGCACCACGCAAAAAACCCCAATGTAAAGTGAATGAGGCTCTTTTGTTGTGGTGCACACACGCATTTCTACAACGTCCCACAGTGAGCTTTTATTCTATAAAAACGTTTTAAAATCTACTTTATAGCTTGTAGTAACTCACGGGAGGCTTCTTTTATTTTATTTGTATTCATAATAATTTTTATTTTTCGTCAGAATGTAAAAATTACATTAGTTACGAATTTTTGTTCTAAAAAAACAGTGCATTGTGTGTAATACAACTGTGATTTTTATTAAATTAGTTAGTTTTTAAGGAAGGCCAGAGCTTCAGCTGTGTCAAATAGATTGTTCCCTTTAGTTAACGCTATTTAAAAGATAATTATCATGTCCCCTTTATTGCATTACGAGCGTCCATTCCCATTGGATAACGGAGAATTTTACACCCGGAAGTAAGTATTCCCCTTACTGTCGATTTATTTTACAGTAATATCTGCACTACTCATCAACTCAAAAACACCAAATTATCCTTGTTAATTACACAACATTGATTGGTTTAAATTGTGTACAATGCTTTTGTATTTTTCCCCTTCGATTCGGAGAAACGAATATTTTTTCAGAGTTTTTGGATGGCAGAAGACACTACACTACCCAGAATCCTCAGCTATCGTTTGGGACTACACCATGTGCTTAGCTTGACAAACCCCGTGATCAGTCCTCAAGCTCTGTGATTGGATGTTGGAGTGGCAGTGCGCGAAGTTTACACGGAGCGTCAAAAAGCACCTTGAAATGGAATGAAACCCATCGACGGCACACTATTCAAAACAAGAATCGAACGTGTCCTATCCCATACAGACAGAACGGTTTGTGGCTGGGGTGATGGGGGTCTTTTATAATCCTGAGGGCTTTCTTTAAGGTTAACGTGGTGTTTTTACTCCACTACATTTATTTTAGTTATTTTACAGATTTGGATTAATGATGTGAAATATAAACAACCCTTAAATCAGACTTTAGTTACACCTGAGTAAAATTCAGTGAAGGTGATTGTCAAGTGTCAACAATCAGGAGAGATATTTGATAGTTGGTGCTTGAGAAGACTAAACATTTATCTGCAGATCCGTATAAAGCATATTCATTACTCGTTATTCTCTAATCGTTCATTAAAGACTGTATATAATTGATATTTTGCACATCCCTTTCAAGATTTCAAGATTTTCTAAGGTTTATTGACATATCATATACACAACTACGGTGTAGTTATGCAATGAATGAAAAACTTGGATCACAGGTTCCTCAACAGTGCATTACAAGACATCTATCAATATGTGTGTACCTCCACCATTAAACTGTCATATTCTGCACATGTATTATTCTATCTAACATCTTATAAGAGTATAATAAAGATGTATAATATCGGTTAAAATAAGTGCTTCAACATAGTTAACATTGCAGGAAAGTTGATTGTCAAGTTCCAAAACAAACCATACAATATATTAGACGTTAAGTACTTTGTCAGGCTTAATATGTATCTGTAGATAGATACCCCCAAAGCTTTTTTCTTATTTAAAAGAAGACCTTAGCCTAAAGTATTCTTTAATGTTTAAATAAAGCCTTATTAGTTTGTCTGTTTTGCACATCCTCCTATCAGGCACTAAACTGTTTTGTTGTAGATATTATTTACAGTATCTTCTTGATATTTTCTATTCTATATTTATATCATTGACCTTCTACTTTCCCACTATTTTGTATGTATTCTTAATATTTAAATGTTTTCATCAAACACATTCAAAAGTACTTTACAAAAATGAAAGACATTAAGAAAAAGGCATTTTAAACAGTCATTAAAAAGCAACATAATCTACCTGCATTGCAATTACTCTAAACGTGTAATAACGTGCTTTAACCAGTAGGTGGTTTGGGTTAAAAAGCTGTCAAGTTTACAGTGTTAACACAATAAAATATACTGCTGTTTTTGGTTTAGTTGACAACGGATATATTTTGTTATTGTTTTGATATTTGTAACATAAAAGCGATGTAAAAACCCAACAGCAACACAGAAAATATGGTCTTAACATGACCCAGCGGTCTAGTAGTTAATAAAAAAACAATAATATCAAAACAAATTATTACTACTAACTTTATTGTGAAATTAAAACAGAACGGTAAAATAGTTTCCGGTCTATTTTGAGGCCCGATCTCTGTAGATAAATAAAGAACTACGACAGATGTGTAATATTTAATGCAGCCAAACCATTTATTACAATGCATTCATGTGATGACTTTCAAAGAGTAAAGCAAGCACTGCTGAATAAAGTATGATTTGATCTTTTACGAAACGTTTTTTATATGGAATGCAGTTGGAGGTCAACCAATCACAGAGCTTGAGGACTGATCACGGGGTTTGTCAAGCTAAGCACATGGTGTAGTCCCAAACGATAGCTGAGGATTCTGGGTAGTGTAGTGTCTTCTGCCATCCAAAAACTCCGAAAAAATATTCGTTTCTCCGAATCGAAGGGGAAAAATATAAAAGCATTGTACACAATTTAAACCAATCAATGTTGTGTAATTAACAAGGATAATTTGGTGTTTTTGAGTTGATGAGTAGTGCAGATATCACTGTAAAATCAATCGACAGTAAGGAGAATACTTACTTCCGGGTGTACAATTCTCTGTTATCCAATGGGAATGGACGCTCGTAATACAATAAAGGGGACATGATCATTATCTTTTAAATAGCGTTAACTAAAGGGAACAATCTATTTGACACAGCTGAAGCTCTGGCCTTCCTTAAAAACTAACTAATTTAATAAAAATCACAGTTGTATTACACACAATGCACTGTTTTTTTAGAACAAAAATTCGTAACTAATGTAATTTTTACATTCTGACGAAAAATAAAAATTATTATGAATACAAATAAAATAAAAGAAGCCTCCCGTGAGTTACTACAAGCTATAAAGTAGATTTAAAAAACGTTTTATATAATAAAAGCTCACTGCGGGACGTTGTAGAAATGCGTGTGTGCACC